CGATCTTCGGACCAACTTTGTTCCTAATTTTTATCAACAAACTTCCAACGTCATCCGTTCTCGACTCGGTACCTATGCTGATGACACAACTACGTTTAACTATTTTCTTAATAGTAAGAGCTGATCTCGAAAATGACCTTCAATCTGTTGTTAACTGGAGCAAGAAACGCCTCCAAAACTAAACAGCTCTCTTTTAATTGTCTTAGAGAACTTTTTTTAGAGTAAAGGAATAGAGTAACTCAATGCTCCTTCTAACATTTTCTGCTGATATGAAATGGAACAGTTACATTAAATCAGTTGCTATGTCTGCTAGGAAAGTTGGTTCACTGTGTCATATTACACAATTTTTCTCGCCATAATCTATCTTGCACATTTATGAGTCTGTTATTCGTCCGCGCATCGAATATTGCTGCCACATCTAGTCTGGTGCTCCTGCTATATATCTAGAGATTCTTAACAAAAGGCAAAAAAGAATTCGCAATGTTGTCAGTCCTGACCTGGCATCTTGGCTTCAATCGTAATGTAGTTTCCCTGTGACTCTCCTATAAATATTTTTATGTTAATTGTTCTTTGATACCTCGACTTCACGAATATAAGCGCAGTACTAGATTGGCAGCTAGGGCTCATCATTTTATTGTTGAATTGCTAAATGTACTCATAAATCCTATAGTTTATTCTCCCACACTCTTCCGGCTTCTTGTTTTCCTGCCAACTACGATCAATCGTCATATGTTCTAGCTCTTTGAATTCTGTTCTTTTCTTTTCCGTTCTCCTCAATAATGTTTTCTGTTTCTTTCACTCTCAGTAATTCCTAGCATCATAATATCTTTATCACTTTGCTTGGGGCTTAAATGATTAATATAAATAAATAATATAAAAATACGCAGACACTAACGTGTACACATACACACAGAGAAACACTCAAGCTTTCAATAATATAATAAAATTCAATGAATTATTTCGACCATTTCTGTTTTTAATCATTACGTTTCGGCCGGTGTACTCTTCGGTCTTCTCGTCCGTATGTCATATTCGGTAATCTTATTCTTTTTAGTTTTTGTTTTTTTGTTTGTTTTTTTTTGTTTTTTTGTTTGTTTTTTTTTTTTTTTTTTTTTTTTTTGTTTGTTTGTTTGTTTTGCTTTCCTCAATTATCCAGTAACAAAGATTCCTCTGGAATAATGTTTAATGTAGTAATCGAGAGAGACAAAGTTCAGAACGCTGAACAGAATAATTTATGGAATAATGATCACACATCCCTTCAGAATATCAAATTACGCAACTTATAAATTGTCTGAAAATATAAAAATTCCAAAGCTTAAATGTGTATATGAAGGAAGTCTTACTTCACACCTACATTGACATATCCAGATCAATATCCAGATCAATATCCAGATCAATATATATCGTGATGAAGTTACTTATTAATCTTATCTAAGTCAGTTACAAAGTCATTTATATATACCTACCTTTGCAAAGGTTTTTGGATATAACTGTCTACGTATGTTTAGAGCTATAAGCAAACAATTCCTTAATAACAGATTCACAATTATTAATCACATGTATGAAGAAGAAACTTGAGATGAAAATAATGTGGTTCTACAGAAAGATGCTGAGAATACTATGGACTGAAGATGTGAGCAATGACGAATGTTTTAGAGAAAGGACACTTATACTTCACATCAGAAAGAGATAGTTGAACTTTCTGAGGTACATAATGAGGAAATAAGGGTTAGAAAATTTGACACTGACGAGACATATTGGAGGCAAGAGTGGAGAGGAATGCAACGCATAACGAGAGATAAGAAAAAAACACAATTTAGTAAGAGCTACGAAGGACAGGAAATTGTGGAGAGCCATGATTGCCAACATCCTGAAGGAACAGGGCACAAGCGAATATGTCTTCATCGTAATAGTGTACGCCTCCTTACGTCTTCCTGCTCCGCGAACGCCAAGTCTTAACTTCCGAAAATAACGTGCCTTTTCTAAATCGACAACTATCAACGACATTAAACACAAATCAGGTGACATGACACATTTTCTTTTAGTGTTTCTTGTTCTGGAATAACATGGCGAGCATCGATGCGGGAACATTTGATGAATTAGGCGAATATTATCAGTGAATGTTTGGAATTATTATTGATTACTTGAGTAGAAGTCACCCTCGAAAATATGGAGATAGTTGGAAGAAGATTTGGCAATAAATTTGAAAAATCTGAAAAGGATGGGTTGAAATCATCTCAATTCATATAGATGCGTGTTTATTTGAAAATGGAGATAACATGAAAAAGGAAGAAAGAAAAAAATGAATGAATGAATGAGGAAAGTAAAATAAATTAGTGAGATAAAGAAGAAATGAGAAAGAAACAGAAAAACAAATAATTTCGGAGTTTACAAATGAAAGATAAAATGAAAAGCCTATTGTAAATGTAAATCTATATTCTTTCTTTTTCTTTTTTCTTTTAATGTATAGAAAGAGTCTAGATGGTTAAAAAAAGAAAGGTAAAATTGCAAAAAGAGAAAATGAATCAAAATGACGATAGGAAAAAGAAAGTAAAAAAAAGAGAAAAAGAAAGTAAAAAAAAGAGAAAAAGAAAGAAAGAAAAAAGAAAGAATATGTGTAAATATTTTGAAATAACATACAAGATCATTCAATAATTTGGATCTAAAATTTTCACTGTATAGGTTTTGATATATGTAACTAATATTCAACACTGAATTAAGTGCACTGACAAGGAAAATTTTGTTGAAAAATATTTTTGTATTAATTAAATACTTTTTCAGCTATCGATGACAGATTTATTCATATGCCTACGTATACAAATTTAAATTTTTACATAAAAACTTGACTCAAAGTAAGAACAGAGAAAAGCTCCCACGGAAGCAAATTTAACAAATAACAGATTTACATATATTGTACATATGTCTGAATGTTAGTAATTTGGATAAAATATTTAAAAAAAAATACTGCTGTGCAAATCAATTTAATGGATATTGATACAAGACAAAATTAACGTCGAATGCATATATGCATTGGGTTAAAAAAACAAAATGGGATAATATATTTTACAAGTACGCAAAATAACTTTGAGATCAAAACATGAATATTTACATTCACATGAAAATTGAAACGGTTCATAAACATAGAAAGCAAATCAACAAATGCCAGTATTTGTAGCAGAAAGAAGATGGTTTGAAAATATTTGATGGGAACAAAGAAAGCTAAATGCACCATGGTATAAAAAGACTATATCAGGTATATTTAGGAAGCAAGTATTTTATCCAAACAAATTTCATTAAATACAACCGACATGTCTATCTGACTGCACCAAATAAGAATACGATCTTGGCTCTCCTTAACCGTTACACATGACGTCACCGGGGGCTATTTTAAACTTTCAGCTTTCTAAAGATTACCAGAATGTTTCTAACAGAATCTTACTAGTAAAACAGATACCACATTGTTCTTGAAAATGACTGAGACGATTGAAAGTACTTGAACAAAATCAACAGAACAAAAATGAACTTTGGACAATTTATCCGAAATTTCGATGCAACATCTTATTCGAAAATTGGAAAGATATAATAAAAATGTAAACAGGCAGACCTTATCAGTTCTGTTTAATTAAACTTTTGTTTGTATATATATATATATATATATATATATATATATATATATATATATATATATATATATATATATATATAATAATTATTAGAAAAACTTTAAAATCCATAGTCAGTCATAATTTATTTCGATGAATATAAGCATATTCATCTCATCATACGGACTACATTTTAACTGTTTAGATACCAGAACAAATAAAAATTCAAAAGAGCCAAATCAGGAGAAATACAGTGAATGCTGGAGGGTTTCCCATTTTAACATTTTAAGCTTCTGAAAGGTCTGTTTTTTCGTTTTATAGTAATAAGGGAGTATAGAAATTTTCCATAATTTTCATTGTCTCAAGCGCTTTTCGGCCACTTCTTTAGCCATTTTGAAGGTGGGTCTGTTTTTGGTGTTTCTATTTTTTTCTCATGTTTTGACTGTTCAAGTTGTATTTTATTTTTGTGTTGTCTTGAATAGGAGCGTTCATTCCGAGACTGCGCGTATTGAGCGCGGCGGGAATACGCGTGAGCGTCTTCCTATTTAGAAAAAACAAACAAACTTTTTGACACTCCATTTCCACTATTAAATAAGGTCAGGTTGATAGTAGGAGAGAGATGTTCGATATACAGGGCCTCTTTAATAACGCGATGTTTTTGATAATGTGATTTATATAGAATTTTTGTGTTTTCGACCAGAATTTTTCTCTCTCTCTCTCTCTCTCTCGCCAAACACACACACACACACACACACACGCGCGCGCACACACACACACACATATATATATATATATATATATATATATATATATAGGCACACTGCCATTTATACCAGTGATATCCGAGGGATCAGAGGAATTTATTTCAATTCTGTAAATAACAATATACCTTGAGATACCAGAAAGTTTGAGTAAGTTAAATTAATTTATAATATATATATATATATATATATATATATATATATATTTATTAAAAGACATTTTTTTTATGTTTAACGTTGTTATTTATAGATACAAGTATTTAAGCAAATGCTCTGTTTATGATAAACAGTATTAAATAACATTTACCGGCCTGAATACTGTTTATCATAAACAGAGCATTTGCTCAAATACTTGTATCTATAAATAACAACGTTAAACATAAAAAATAAAAAAAAATAAAAAATAAATAAATAAAAAAAAAAATAAAAAAATGTCTTTAATAAATAAATTGTCGGACCTTGTCCATTTCTTAATATATATATATGTATGTATGTATGTATGTGTGTATGTAACTAAAGCACAGACACGCAGTACAAATGTCCACGTGAAAACTAAATAAACCATGGGCATGGAAAGAAAGGCAAAAACTTTGGAAAAGCGAAAGTTTAGAAGTTATTCGTTCATTCCCGTTTTCTCTTAACTTTCAATGTAAAAGAAAAATGTAAAATCCAGAAAAAAGGGAATAGAAAGAATAAAAATCATAAGAAATAAAAAGATAGAAGGAAAGTGAAATAAGTAAAGATAGAAAGAAAGAAAGTAAAAGAAGAAGAAATGTATAAATAAAAGAAATAAAAAAGAATAGCAGATAATGGAAGAAGGCAAAGAAGCAAATAAATTGAGACACTCAAATAAAGAAGGAAAAAAGAAAATTAAAAGAAACGATGAAAAAGAAGGAAGAAAATAAACAAAATATAAACAAAAACAGTAGAAAAAAATAAGAGAAATAAAGTTGGGAGATAGAAAAAGAGAGAAAAGCGAAAGTGAGAGGAAAAAATAAAAGAGAACTCAGCTGAGGGAATAATATAGATTGTGAGAGAGGAAAGCAGCTGAGAGAAAAAAGGATTAAGAGTGAGAGAATGCAGAGAGTGAGAGTGAGAAAAAGCAAGAGAGAGAAAGTTTCAAATAGAATGAGAAAGACAGACTACAAATAGAAGGAAAGAGAAAATTAGAAAGAGAGAGAAAGCAACTGAAAAAAATAAATCAGTACGGAGGAGAGAAGATATAAACAGAAGCAGCAGCAACAGCATCATAGAGAAAAAGTGAGAGAGAAGACCAGCAGATGTGGAAAGGGATAAAGAGAAAATGCGATAAGTCTAGAAATGAAAGAGGGTAGCGGGCGAGGGAGATAGAGAGAGAGAGAGAGAGAGGAAAGAAAATACGAAGGTGACCAACATGGACGAACGTTAAGCGAGTGAACAAAGGAAATGATGACTGTTTCAAATCAGCTCACTTGTCCTATCTGAAACCGAATGGTCAGCAAGTGTTGGTGTCATGAAATCCCAGTGGCCGTGTGTCCGGTCCTGTGCCGTCAGCCACGTCATGAACCCCGCAGCCATGTGCATTTATCGGTGAGTGATCGTCAAATGGACACGTAAGACTATGACAGGTAAATCGACTTTGGTACACTTGGAACAGAACTGGAGCGGTATGGGTGCGTTAAGGTCTTGCAATCAGTGGAACGCACCGTCGGGAGTTTGCTTTTCCGATGGCTACGTGTACACATGCGTACTTATTAGCTTTCTCAATTTCTTTCTGTCTGTCTACCTTTCCTTCTCTCTCAGAAATACACATACGCTTATAAAGGTACATAAACACACATACCATCACACACACACAAATAAACACACACACACACACACACACATATATATATATATATATATATATATATATATATATATATATATACACACAGAAGTAGATAGATATAAATATCCTGAGGTTGATACGTGCTGAGATCGTTCTCACTCTCTCGAACCTCCCTCTATTTACTTTTATCGTTTTCTTTTTTCTCCTCTAACCACACAAACATACACATGACAAAGGGAGATAGATATCTACTCTGATTCGGTTTATTTACTCAGTGATTACTATTGATCCATCGCTTTAAACATATAATCAATCGAGCCATGTTGTTATTATTTCAATAAACAAAAGCAAAAATCTATCTCAGTCAATATATATATATATATATATATATATATATATATATATATATATATATATATATATCGGTCTAATAATGTCTATCTATCTATCTATTTCGGTTTAATAATACCTATCTATCAATTTCTGTGTAATTTATTTTATATAAAATATATATCGTTGATATAATCAAATGGGTGTATTCATGCAGAGACATTTACACAATTCTTATATAACCAACTCATTTATATTGTACTCAGATTTGACTAAATCGTCCGCAAACCAACAAATGTCGTCTTTTTGGATCAAGAAACTAAAAAGAGAGAGAAACAAAGGAAGACAAAGAGGGAGAGAGAAGCGTAAAATTAAACAACTGACTATATAAGTTACTTTATGCAGTATTCCAAAATTCTACTTAATTCTACTAGTTTAATTAGATTGAAATCTCTCCTTTCTATTTATTAAACCGAGAATAAAGATTTAAGGAACCATTTAAACAACTTCAGAAATACATCTTTTATAAATATTACACAACTCGATTATCGCTCAAAAAAAAAAAAAATCCATGCACGTCTTAACCTCCTCCTTTCTGTTTTCCTGATCGTTTCATCATTATCCACTAATCGAGTACAACTAGGTCATATAAAATATGTGCGTAAAGGATAACTATCAGGTCATCCCATAAGTTCTGTCCGAATTTTGAATAAAGAAAACAAGTGACCAAATGTTACATTTAATTACAGATTCAATCAACAATGTATTTTCCCTGATTATATATGACTTCTTTCCATCTATTAACAAGCTTACTAATTCCATTACTGTAAAATTCTTTTGGCTTTGATTCGAAGAACTCACAAATGTCAGTTTTAACCTCTTCCTGTGTTACAAAAGCTGTTTCTTCTAAATGATTCTGTAAGCTACGAAACAAATGGTAGTCTGAAGGAGCAAGATCGGAAGAATAAGGTGGATGAGGAATTTTCTCCGAACCAAGTTCTTCGATCTTTTGTGACGTGATTCTTGCTGTGTGGGGTCGCGCATTGTCCTGATGAAACATCACCCCTTTTCGATTCACTAGAGCAGGTCTTTTTTTCCTCAAAGCTTGGTTCAAACGTTCTAATTGCTGACAGTATATTTGAGCATTAATTGTTGCATTAGGTGGTAAGAATTCAAAGTGGATTATTCCTTGGTGATCCCACCAGATTGAAAGAAGAACCTTTTGCCGATGAAGTTCCCTTCTCGGCCGTGGCTGGAGTCCTTCCCCTTTACCAAGCCATTTCGATAAAAGATCCATTTTTCGTCGCCAGTCACAAGACTATCCAAAAAATGTGAAACAAGTTGGCGAGAATGGAGAGAAGAGCAGATGCCAACTCGGGATTTGAGGTTGTTTTCAGACAATTCATGAGGCACCTATTTTCCAAGTTTAGGAACTTTTCCAAATTGTTGAAGATGATGATGAACAGTTGTATGGTTTGAACTGAGAACCACTGCCAATTCCTCAACTGATAAAGCAGGATTTTCTTCAAGGGCTGCTTCAAGAAGCTTTTCATCAAACTCAACTGGACGTCCGGTTCGATCTTCATCTTCAAGGGTGAAATCTCCACCTCTGAATTTTGCAAACCATCTTCTGCAAGTTCTTTCATTCACACATTCCTCTCCATAAACTGAGTGAATGTTTCTAGCCGCTTTGGCTGCTGAGTTTCCTTTCTTGAACTCATAAAGCATTATGTGCCTCAAATGATTCTTGGGTATTTCCATATTAGCAGGGTTTTAATCAAACAAAATTTAATTTTATTGTTCTCTGAAATAAAATTTGATCAGTTTAAATGCATCTAAACATAAAAATAATGTTCAGCTCCATTAGACATTATAAAATACTCTTTAAATTTCGTTCATTTTAACAAAAAGTTCAAATTCGAACAGAACTTATGGGATGACCTGATATAATTCATAAACTGTTGCCGGGTTTTGTATAGTGGATACTCATATTTGAGTAGAAACTCCGTTTATTTAAACAGTATATTTATTTACGTTTACTGTCCAGAATATTCGATAAATCTTTGCTTGGTCATCGATGTACTCTGTAGCCCATAGGTCAGATCTAGGTGAACGCAGGTTCGAATCCTGCTGGAGAATCCGTTAAATGCATGTCGTCGTCGTCTGGGTTTTTTTTTTATTAACGGCAAAAAGTTTTTCGGCATTTTTTCCTTACGTGTATACTTGAAAATTCTTTTTAGGTTTGTTTGTGTTAGAATACGTTTTATTTAACTACAGTTTTAAAATATTTTTACTCTTAATTACTAAATAGACTATATTTCTTACTAAATTACTTACATTATTTAAAATTATTTTTTCATATCAAATATAAGTATGTATATTACCAGCTCACATTTTTCAATTTTATTTTTAAATATTATTTAATGGAAATTTTTGACAATGACGGCAAAAATAGCTATTTCATTTCTCTGATTCAGTAAATTTTTATTTTTTATAAACTTAGTAATATATAGTTTCTCATGTATGCACAAAGGACATGGGTCATTTAATGACCTGCATATTCTAGCTTTTCTTATTAATTTCCATTTTATTGTAGGTGTTTTATTTGATTCTTTTAAGTGCCAGAAATACTTTGAAAGTGATGTCTGATTTCTGTATTTATTTATCCTAAATGAAGTTTGGTGTTAATTTACCGCTTTTTGAACTCATGGCTTATGCAACCTATATAGATTTTTATGTATTCGGGATTCTCAATAGATGAAATATTGCATTGGTATACTAATGATTCCGTGCGACATTTATTTTATAGAGGACAGTTATGAGGATTTCTACGTTTGAATAATTTTTGTTTATCTTCATCTGTTTTTATTTTTATTTTAACATTGTCTAAATTTCTTTGGTTTTTGTCTAAGTGTTTATTGAAGATATTAGCAATATGTTTCTTAATAATTTTTTTCAAAGTTTTCAGTACAGCTGTAACTTAATTTTAGTGTATTTTTATTGAAAATATTACTTAGTTTACTTTTTCTAGGAAACTGCTTAATCTTTCAATCAGTTAATTTATTATTATATATATATATATATATATATATATATATATATATATATATATATATATATATATATTCGGCTAAATTATCGCTCACTTTTTGGTGATGATAACTGGCAAAGGGACTTCCCATGAAAAAACATAAAAAACAGGAAGCTCACATCTTGAATAATCAGAACAGAGAGTGCGTGCGTGCGTACGTGTATGTGTGCGTGAGAGAGAGAGAGAGAGAGAGAGAGAGAAGAGAAAGAGGAGAATGATAGAGTGTGCAAATAATGTTTCATCTCCCATTCACATTGTCTCAATCTCTTTAATGCTTTCTTTCCCATGCATGCCGAATCTGTTCGTGTCTCTGATTTGTCATTCTAATAGTAACTGTGCGACGCCAGGATAACAGATCGTTTAACAACGACGAACACCGTGCAGCCATTATGAAGGTGAATTTCCTAAGACAATTGATGAATAGACCCTACTACTTGCTCGTCGATAAGATTGTTGACTCCATGAAAGAAACGAAAAAAAATGTTACATAAACAAAAGCCTAAGAGAAGCCTCTATTAATGCACACACACTCACACATAGATATATATTTATATATATATATATGCATGTTTGTGTGTGTGTGTTTCGGATAGATAGATAGATAGATAGATAGATAGATAGATAGATAGATAGATATGAACAATGATAGGTAGATATTTATGTTGTAAATATAGATCTTTATTAAGCTTAGCTTAGGCAGACAGGAGGCTACAATTATACTATAAAAGAGAAGGAATTAAAAAAGAAATGTGTTGTTGGGTTATGTGGTTTGATTTGGACGAGTGAGTGACTCAGCAATCCCCCGTAGATAAAATTAACAGGGTAACCGTCACACTACAGCAAACACACACGCGAGATAGATATAAAAGTCATATACAGGGTGTCCCAGAATAAATATAACCCAAGAATGTAAACGCCATTTATTTTCTGTTTATAAACTATAGACAAATCATATATTTCTGAAACCTAGAGAAGTTAGGAAATCGACTACTACAAACAACATGTCATTTATACAATATGCTTCCAAATGTGCTCCGTTCTGCTGATGACACACTTGAAATTTACGGGCAAATTTGATGCATTTTCTTTTGGTATAGCTCTGATTTCTTGAGTGATTGCTGCCTTTAACTCTGAGATGGTGTGGGGGTTGTTCCTGTGGACTCGATCCTTCAGATATCCCCACAGATAAAAATCTGAGGGT